ACCGTAGGCAGAGAGGGAGAAGTGGACAAACCAAACGAGGGGCTGTGACAAACTGTTTACCTCCTGACTATATGTATAGTCAAACAGAGCTGCCCGATAGACCGTAGGCAGAGAGGGAGAAGTGGACAAACCAAACGAGGGGCTGTGACAAACTGTTTACCTCCTGACGAGTCGGTGAAACTCCGACGAAACAGTTTTTTGTCACAGCCCCTCGTTTGGTTTGTCCTCTTCTCCCTCCCTCTGCCTTTGCTGGGCAGGCAGAGAGGAAGGGAGGGAGAAGAGGAGAACAAACGAGGCGCTGTGACAAACTGTTTCGTCGGAGTTTCACCCACCAACTCATCAGGATCTCTCACTCAACCTGCTAATCGTTCCCATACATTGGAAATGCTGTATGGGTGCAGATCTATCTGCCAGTGGTCGCTTTGTAGTCCAGCGACGTGTGGAATGTTCTGTAGTGGATGGAGCTAAGGCCTCAATCTACTCGAAAGTCAAGATTGACGAGCGCGTCACACACACGGCACACGAAAAGGGCAAAAAAAGGAAGGAAAAAAACGCAGTGCATCTTCCCACAGGAACTGGAAAGGTTCGTGCGTTACACGTATTATTAATAGTACTAACGAATGTATGCGGCCACTTTCTGCACTCGCAAACGGACTCGTTTCTTTTTTTTCGTTCCGTGTGCCGTGTGAAAAGGTCCAGGGCTTTGGATTACAGAAAACGGCGTGCGCTACGGGGGCCAGGTCCGACTTACACGAATTAAGCGATATTGACCTAGGTAGCAAAGATCAACGGTCCGAATCTCTTAATCCGTGCAAGTGGGACCTTGCCCCGGTTCGTACCTCGCCTCGTCGTCAAACGTCAGCTCGTCGCGTTGCCGCTCCCTTTTTTTTTTGAGAAAACTACGGTGCAGTCAGGGATTGAGTTTGTAATTGCACTTGAGGCAAAAGGGCCGGTAATGCTGAATGTATATGACCTACGTTTCGGGTCCGGTGCGGTCGCGTGGGGGTGTGTTGTATTCGCGGGATTGCCTGAATTGCAATTACAAACTGTTTTCGTGACTGCGCCGAAGTTACCCCTTTTTTTTTTTTTTTTTTGGTGCAGCAATCCAGGGTCCACAGCCCACTTACACGCATTCTCAATTTCTGACCGTAGATTAGATTGGCAATTATATGAATTCTCAATTTCTGACCGTAGATTAGGTTCGCAATTATATCAACGTGTCGAATCTTCGATCACTTGCAGTATAGCACTTAGTACCCTGATTCTTCATTTCTGGCCGTTGATCTTCGTAATCTACGGTCAGACGTTGAGAATTCGGGTACCAAGTGGGACTTGGTTGGCCCCGGAAGTCGTGGCGTGCAGCCAAAAGCCATCGCTACCATGGTTGGAATGAATGTAATAAATAAAAAACGGGAAGTAGCGGCGTGCATGCATAAAAGCCTTGGCACAACGTTTCCACTTGTCAATGAATGCATTTATGTCAGCATCCCGCGCCGGGTGCACATGCATAGTAGCAGTCCTACCGGTAGGGGCAGCCCTCCGAGGTTGAGTGGAACACAGATGATGAAAACCCTAATTTTTTTTTTCAGGAATCGTCCACGGAGCCCGACGACACGGTGAGGAGTGCCTAATGACTGAGGCCCATACTTAAAAACCTGGCACTGTTTTTTCCTAATATAGGTATCTAACTGGAATTAGTACAGACCTGTACGCATCCGCATCTTGCGTCCCGAGCTCAGTCGAAAAAGTCCTACTAGACTAAGGGGCAGATCCCACTTCTACCATTTTTCGTAAGAACGTAAAAGTGCCGCGAAAGGTGGAGGCGCAGGGCACGGAACGTGAAAGAAAAATGCGACCCCACGTGCCCTACATCTGCGGGACTTTTCCTAACGGAGCCGCACTATCTTGTGGCGCCCCGAGGATCCAACGTGTGCCGCCCGAGTATCCAACGGCCTGCACATCAGGAAAAAAAAAAAGGAAGAAAAAAACAAGGGCTCCTTCTTTCAGGGTGCAGGGTAGGGGGTGGCCTCTTCCGAAAATAGGAAGAACTACCGCCCCTGCAATCACGCTCGCGCCTCCACGTACGAGAACGTTTCCACTTCCCTGACGTTCCAGGACGGGATCCGAGTTTTGTGGAAAGAAGTGGGATCCCAAATTTTGCCTAAAAGTGCCCTGCTTAGAAGAAGTGGGATCTGCCCCTAAATGTCACAGTGTGAGTACGCCGTCAGACAGAGAAGGGAAAAAAAAAAAAAAAAAAAAAAAAAAGAGGAAAAGACAAGACTGCACCTGCTGGAAATAGGTATGTCTCCCAATGAGATAGATAGAAAGACACGCATTCAATCATTAGTATTCACTACTGTAGCTGCAGTAAATGATGACTCTCACTGTACAGCACAATGCGACCACCAAGCACCGTTTTCAAATCAAGTGCCAGAAAGAAAATAAGAAGAAAAGAGAAAGAAAGAGAAGGAAAAGAGAAAGAAAGAGAAGAAGGGGGTGGAAGGAGGCCCCACTGGTGCCCCCCAGTGGCTCCTCCCGGACCCCTGACCAGACAAAGGGTTGAAGAAGGAAAAGGGGATCAGCTGGACTCCAGAGAAATCATTGCTGGCAGGTGCCTTCCCTGGGGCCAGGACCAGGAACAGGTCCCATCAAAGAGGATTGGATTGAGGAGTCCGACCTGCATCAACTTGAAGATGGGTTTTAAGAAGAGATGCAGAAAAGCACAAGGATCACCATTCTCTGCATTCTCTCCAAACACGTCCAGATTCAGGCATGCAATCCATACCACTTTCAAATTGCTAGTGCGACCTCGCCCATGATGAGCGTGTGCCAACAGGTGCCAGGGATTGGCAGGTAGCTAGCCAACTGTCCATGGAAGGGCCTCGTTCGACACCACTTGAAAATACTTACTTGAGTTCCAAGGGCACCCTAACTCACGGAAGGTCACCAATACTTCCTAAAGTCGTGCCCGTTAACGCGCCACGATTTTAGGGAACGTACGGGCCACTACAGGAGCGCCCAAATTCATCCAACTAAAATAGTTTCTACTCTATTTTTCTCTGCGGACGATAGCTGGGCCAAGTACTGGTGGTTTAATTTCCACTAACTTCTTTTTTCAATTTTTTCGTTCCACACAACCCCTTGACAAAACCCTTGAGACGGCCGTCCTTGAAACTGAAGTGCTGACGGCATGGCACCAGGAACAGTGGTGACTGGTGGAAAAAAAAAGACAAAAGAAAAAAAAAAGGTCCATATATTACTCATTTTGAAGGGTCCAGCCCTTGCGCCCCTGGTTCTTTCGGGGCTATCAGCAACAAAATGGGACCTCTTCACCCTAAGGCATCAGATTCTGAAATGAGTTAGCATCTAGTCCCACTACCCACTGTACTCAATTCTGAGGAATCCGATCAAGGAGTTCCACAATTAGCTCAACAATTGAAGACTAGCCCCTAGATAATGAACAACATAGCCTGAGCAAGCCTATCCTTTTGGCAACTGCCTTTGATTCTATCAATAACCACTCCATGGAGGTGTGTGACCCCTCAGCTAATGTTCAATGATCCCTCTGCTCAAAGATGTTCAATGATCTCTCTCTCTCTCTCTCTCTCTCTCTCTCTCTCTCTCTCTCTCTCTCTCTCTCTCTCTCTCTC